GCTGGAAACAATGGCCGTCAACTTCGACAGCACCTGCCACCTGCAATGAGACAATCGCTTGGCACCGCTGTTTGTTGATTGAGTCGTTGACCCTTGGCATATGCAGTCTCTCGCAGTCTCCAGGGTTTGTTGAGTTTTCATGGAGCCCTTGGACACAAAGCATAAATTCCTATGTAAATAATGTCCACCGCAAGCGTCCCAATCAAGAATACTCTTCATGTCGGGCAATAAGGTATACTTGCCTCACCACACCCTCTGGCCCCTGAGGATAATCTCTCTGTCCCTCGGGGCAACCCGCAAGTTCGAGCTGCGACGGAACTGGCCGGAGGACTGAGGGACCGAGTTGCGCTGTGGGCCTCCCAAGCTACTACCGCCTAAAGATGCTGCACTGGCGGCACCGGAGAAAAAGGTGTGGCTCCAAAACATGAAGGATCCCCACCAAAATGGGCCACCCCCGAGAAATCATTCTCTTGATCCCGGGTGCCCGTTGAACACAAAAGCCAGGATAGAGAGACGCAGTTGCAGAGGGTGACCTTGAGCAGTGGCGACCTGCTCACCATGGAGGCACCAAAAGCTAGTCTCTTGGGGCCAGCTTCTATCTTGGATCAGAATTAGCCTAGGATATTGAGAGATTAGTGATCCACTTGGCTTTTCCTGTTCTGGATATCGTCCGCAATGCGGCATCCTGCATGATGCGCAATTTGATACTGATGGTGGCATGTTAATGTTTACTTCCTTGACATGCGAGATCCAGTGGGTGGGGCAAGCTGTTGGATGATGCTTTGTTGCTGGAAACACAACTCTCCTATGGATAGGGCTGGCGTGTTGCTGCCAGCGAGTGTGGTTCAGTGCGCAGGGCATGGTCCAGAAGCACTTCCAACACCGGGTGCCTCGAGAGAACGTCAAGGCTGGTCTTGCATGTCGAGACAATTGCCAGCAAGAACTGCTAGAGCCGCACGATTTAGTGCACTGCTGATCTTCGGAATCTTTAAAACCTCCATTTGTGCGGAGAATGGAACAAAGCATGCATTCCGGCCTGCCAGCCGTGCCCCTTGTGCCACAGCTTGAAGTGTGTTTGCACGCATCTGCCACGTGAGCATCTCGCCTCCCGAGTTAGTCTGGAATCCATAGGCCCGCTGCCAGGAGCCGCGCATCAACCTGACCTGGCGCTGGGTAAAAAGGCATGTTCCTGACTGCCCCGCTGGGCGGAAGATGACACACGCGTCTCGGTGACGATTGAAGTGAAGTGTTATTCACAAGCTGTTCATGACCTTTTCTTGTTTCGGATTTGCTTTAGCCGCGATAATCAACATTCCAAAGCCACATAGTATTTTTCGTCTCAGTGATGGAAGCTGCGAAGCATGTCAAAGGCAACAAGGCTTCCACTTCAGAGACATTCGTGCATCCTTGAATTTCAGCGCTTCAAAGTGAAGTGCAGGCCTAGCGTTCCAGCGGATGAGCGAGGAGAGTCCTCCTTGGTTGCATTTCAGCCAGTTTCCAGAAGCATTCCAGTCAGTTAATGATACCGCCGTGTGCTCCAAATGCCCGGCTGCAGTGTGTTTCACACTCGGCACCCACATGAAGGGCAAGACGTGTGTGACTTCTACGTCTTTGAAGATCAATGACATTTTCCTTCTTGACTCCTTTCCTTTTGGCGGGTCAGTCAACCAGTCAGCACGTGGGGGCTTGAGAGTTTAACGTAGCCTGAAAGATTGGTGAAAGGGTGGCTCAGCACCCACTGTTGGGCAAGTGTCTGAAGAGGGAGGTGGCAGAGGAGCATGGCGCATGAAGCCGAGATGCTTTGACTTGGGCACTATGTTCCACGCCACCTCTCAGGTCATTCTGACTCCGCAAACCTGTGGGGTGTGCCCGCAGATTGTTTAGATGGTGCCTGCAATATTCTCCAAACGGTGTCCATGAGACTTCATTGATTAGCTGATTGCGTTGAAGATCTCCGGTCTCACAGTTTCAATCCCAAGCGCAATCCAACATATGACTTCGTGGCCGGAAATGACATGGTCGTCCGCGCGCTATTGTGCATCCTGAGACGAGCAGCGCACTGGTAGCCCAACTCCAGCACAACCAAAGTTCTGCCAGTTCTTTGAAGGTCCTGTTTGTCTTGCCTTTTTAAACACGTATGTGCATAGTGGCTTGCCATGAGGGTTGAAACATGTCGCATCTATGAGGAGGGTCTCAAGACAGGAACATCTCTCAAAAGACACATGGTTTGCTGGGGTCCATGCAAGCCCTTGAACATCTAGTGGAGTGACAAGAACTACAAATTAAATGTGGCGTTTGCAAAACCAGCAATTTACTAAAACCACCAAAGTTGAGAGTTCAGATTGTTTTGTTGCCCTGCAGCCCCAGACCTCGACTTCCCCGATTGCAAACTTGGGCAGGTGCTTGCCAGCGGGTCTGACTGTTTCAGCGGCATCTTGTGTGTTGGGAGCGGGCTGGATTACATTTGCCAAGCACGAAGGTCATGTTTGAGCCTTGGATTTGGAGGCAGTCGTGTTGCGAGACTCTTTGGCTCGTCACAAGCGCTAGCCATGTGAGAAATCATGGGGCCGCCTTGGCCATGGTTTGTCTTGTTTTTTAGCTGCGTGTGCTCTGCGCATCTTCTGGGCGTTGATGACGAGTGCACAGAAGACTGCAGCCTGGGTATGCTTCAGGCCGGCGGGGTTCCCTCGAGGTGGTTTATGTGTTTATTGAAATCCACACCATGCGCCATGGTCGAAAGACCTGTTTACTTGTGGGTGACACGGACGGTCATGGACCCTCGATAGGGAATTCAAGAATCCATTGTAAAGGTTCCCATTGAGGGAACCACCATGTCCCATACAATGAGTTTTTGACCATGCACACATGGTTGCTTCTTCCTTTGGCAGTCCCCACAAATCCTTTGGTTTCCACTCCTTTGCAGGGGGAAGCTCTAGGTGCGCGCGAAGACTTCCGCCGCTGCCGGACTGGTGCACTGCGTGTTCACCTTCGGTGCGGTGGCCACAAGCAAGGCGCCGCTGAAGGACATCCAGTGGCTGGCTTGAGAAGGGGTGTGTGTCAACCGAAGCCAATGGTTGTTGATTTGTGTAGGTTTAGATCACGAGCTGCGTTGCGCAGCCATCGTGGCACAAAAGAAGCGGCTGAATAACATAGGGCCGGTTTGGACAATGGCTTTGCCTGTTCGTGTGTGCTTTATTGGTTGCCACGAGTCAGTTCACTTGGAGTTTTCTTGAGCTGGGAATGCTTCAGCGGCGGCCAAATTCAGACAGGGCTGACCACACCTGCGCCTAGTCTTGATTGGCGGATGGTTGGGTAACAGGCGGAATCTAGCACCACTTCTGACGAGAATTCAGACCAATACACAGAAATTGTCTCACCAGGGGCTGACATGTCAGCAACCTGGCTTAAGAATCCTGAAGGACCTGTCCCAGCCAGGCCAATCTTTCAGAGGACTGCGCCTCTACACGGAGAATGCGTTGCCAATGAACATGCGACAGGCAGATGCGGGCGCGAACCTCAACGAGTTCTACCATGCCCAGGCCGATTGAGGCCGTTGCTTCAGCGCAATGTTGTCGCACTCTAACCTCACCGGATTGATGTGTTGGCCGCATTGATATGGGTTTCCCGTCTGACCGAAAAGGACCCACTTGTGTTGTTTTGGCTAGTTGATTTTACAAGTTGAGTGACTTGCTGTTTGCAATCCTCTGCGGAGCATGCATGTATCTGAATATGCCTCCTGGCCCACAGCTTTGCGGGTCAGATCAGCAGTGGCATTCCAGCCAGGGCCGTGTTTCCTTGTTGTCTTGGGACTTGTCCAAGGGTTTGTGAGCATCGTGAAAACCATGTAAGAAGACAGTTTTCCTCGGGTTTCGAGGGCTGTTCAGGTGGCCACTTTGGTCTTGCGGAAAGACCAAGACTCGGACTTCTACCCTGCTCCTGGCCGGGCAGACCTGCCCAGACATTATTCTCACATGCCTATCTCAGACATAGGCCTTCACGAGACTTGCATTCAGCCATTGCGCATGATGCCTGGTTGTTCTTGAGTTCTTGACTTTTGAGGGGGGAAGCCAGAAAGCCACTTGAAACAACAGTGCTTGCTTTGGCCAGCACCATGCCCTGGCCCTTGACCTGAGGACATGAAGGAATATATTGAGCGACTGCTCATCGTGCAGCTCAATGGCAAGGATGCACACGGCCAGAAACTATTCTCCAATGCATACCACTTCGCTTATCTCGCCTGGGGAGCTTACGAAACGCAGAAGGACCGAAACCATCGCATCATGGCTTGAAACGAAAGTTCAATACGTGGCTACAAATTGCTTAATAGGACACCTCCTCAACAACAAAAGTCTTGTGTTATATTTGTGTTTCTCTCCTTTCACCATGGCTGAACTATGATCAGCGGCTTAGAACGTTAATTTTGCCCACACCAGCCAACAGCTGTTGACACATGCCAAGGATCCTGGACAATGGAAGAGCTGATTCACACCAATTTGCCTGACTGGCAATTGGTGGCCCAGCACCAGCACGATACACTGGAAGCAGTCGATAACATTTGGTTGACCCAGAATGTGAACAGCTTGGACTGTTTGATAGTCTTCGAGGGGACACACACCTTCAATCAATTTTTCAGAAACTTGAATAGTTCAGCAGGGAGGAAGGACGGCTACTGTGGATTTTCAGATATCCACAACGGCTATGTGAGCAAACTGCACTGGCTGATGAAGCACGTTATGCCAATACTGCGGCCGCAACTTGCAAAGTGTCCAAAAGTTGGCTGCACTGGCCATTCTTTGGGTGGCTCTCTCTGTCACGTCTTTGCAGCTTGTGCGAACTCCGGCCGAGCTGGTGATCCAGACTATGAGCTGCAGAAGTGGACGGCCGGCTCGCCTGAATTGATGCCGGCTGTTCGGCAGAGACCCTTATCCAAAGATAATTTTCAATTGCCTACTTGGCTTCCTAAATGGGTACGATAGTGAATAGAATAATTGATCGTTCAAAATTGAATGCATTAATTCTGAATATTAACAATAAATTTCGTTAATATTGTATTGAATAATATGTATGTATATATAATTATATATATATATATATCGATGGGTGCACTTATAGGCGCTCTCTCGCTTAGGCATTGCGTATTTGTTTTATCTATTTGGCTTTGCTTTATTGGCCCTTTTTTAGGGCCGAGATTAGTACGTAGTCAGAAGTGAGTGGGTGTTTTTACTATTTGGTTGATATATGTGTGGTGCTGAGCGAGTGTATGTGTGTTTATTTTGTATTAGGTATAGTGTTGAGATGATACGTATGAATGGGTGTGTTTACTATGTGTTAGAAAGTATATTTGAACGATATACATATGGGTGGGTGTGTTTATTATGTGTTAGGCATGGGTATAGTGTTGAGATGATGTATGTGAGTGGATGTGTTTATTATGTGCTAGATATGAGTATATTTGAGCGATATATGTATGGGTGTGTGTGTGTGTGTTTATGTATTATGTATGGATATAGTGTTGAGATGATGTATATGTTGAGATAATATATGGATAGGTGTATTTTTTGTATGCTAGATATAAATGTACGATTTATATATGAATGGATGTATTTATTATATCTTAATATTTTAGAAGAATAATTTGACATAATTTTGATAATAGAATGAAATTGAATTTGATTAAATAATTAAATAAATATATTATAATTTAATTTAATATTGAATTATGTTTATATGAAAAATGGTTTTTGATTAAATGAAAGGATTTATATATAAAAGAAATTATATATTTTTTATGGAGGTAATTTTGGTTGGGGTTGTAGGCTTGCATATGTTTTAGTATATAGGTTGTTATTATACTTTATATATATTTTTTATAGGTTAATATTGAATAAATTATGATTTAATATTTTTTTATTAAATAAATTTTATTATTTTTTGTTTTATTTTATTTTTTATTTTTTTTTTATAATTTTTGTTTAGGTGTTGGATAGGTGTTATATTGTATAGGTGTTGTATAGGCATTCATAAAAATATGTTAAGGAATTGTAGGTATATAAATTTGGGATAGATTTGTAAAAATTATATTTGTATTATTAATTGGAATTGTTATAATGTATTTCGATACTTTTACTTAATATTTGCCCATGTAGACATTCGTATAGGCACTTGGAAACTCGCATGCACCCGGCGTAGATTGTGTAAATTTACGTAGGCTTTCGTATAGGTATACAAATATATAGGCCTCGATTCAAAAAAAACACTGCTCATATGGCCCCTACTATCATAGGCTTTTGCAGAATCATAGGCTATATAATTGTTACGAATCGTAACGAACAATATATGCGAAAATCGTTTCTTTGAGAAATTATTAGTATTTTCTGAAATCATTGGTAAAATATATATGAAAGAGCAATAGGTTGTGCAAAACGAAGACTGGAAATATATTCGCTAGCATATATATATATTTTAATCTATAATTTTTTGATATATGTAATTCTGTTTTTTTATGATTAGTCTAATTCAATTTATAATTATGTGATATGGTTATCTTGATGATTTTGATTTATATTTAAAAAGTATATTATATATTTAAATATGTTATCTTTTTGAATTATGTTTTTTTAGATAGGATTAATTAAAAGAATGTGGTGTTGTTGGATTTTTTTTTATATTTTTTTATTTTTTTTTAAAAAAATAATTTATATTAAAGAATTGAATATTATAAAATATTGAATTGGCTTTAATATTATTTTTATATGTTTAATAATATATATATATATATTTAAAAAATCATATTCTTTAATTAATTAATTTGATTTTATTATATTTAATTTTTATATATTTTATATTTATAAAAACATATATATATAGTTATTAATAATAAACATTTTATATTAAATAAAAATAATTATATAGAACACAAATAGATTAATGAATTATTATAATTTTCTATTTTTCAATATTAAAAATAATATAACAATATGAATGAATTATTTATTATACAATTATATATTTTGTTTATGTTTTTATTTGGGATTTATATTGATAGAATATATTAATAAAATATATTATTATATTATTAATATATCAAAAATATATATATATATAAGTGTTTTTTAGTTCCTCTATTCTTTATAAAAATAGAGCCAAATATATGTTTTAATATCAAATAATATTATAAATATTATCCTAAAAATATTATACTAATATATTAAACCAACTTAGTAAATACAAATAATTTTCATCCAAATATTTATAATATTTTTTAATTTTATTATTATATATTCGAATATTATATATTAATATTCGTCGATTCCTTGTTCGCAAGAGTGAGGCACACGAGAAAGGCCATTATTTCTTAGGAGGTAATATTAATAATATATAAAAAAATATTATAATAATCATTATTATTATTATTATTTTTTATCATCATAATTATTATTTGTATGGTTATTATTAGGATTTCTTTTTACCTATTATTAGTAATATAGCAATTTTGCAAGTGGCAAGTGGACCTTTGTGAAGATCATTATAGATCGCATGGCAATGCGTTCTGCCATGGTCTTCATAGGTCTTACAAGAAATTCTGTTTTGCAGCGGTATATAATATTCGCGCAAGTGCCAACAGGCTTTTGTCCCACGATATGGTGCGGTCGCGCCCAGCCCGTGTGAGACGGGTACCGCGCAGCTACTAGCTGGTGCAGCAGTCTTACCCGTACATGCTGCAAAAATCTAGGATGTGCCATAGAAAACGCGCAAAAGCTGCGCAATATGGCATGGGCTTAACGCGCACGCACAGTGAGCAATCTTACAGAGATCGGCGATAACAACTGCAGCTGCAGCTGCCGCGGTCCTGCCTCGATTGTATTGGCCTCATTGATCAGGGGCACGAGTTCGTCACATACGTGGCCGGAACTCATCCAAATTTCTCTATGCAGGAAGTGCAAGCAAGCAGAGAAACACATGCGTGACCTGCGTGAATCGCTCCAGCGGCTGCTGGAGCGCGCAAGGGCGGGGCACTCCAAAGCATGAGCGTAGCGTTGTGCATGCCATTTCGTGTCGCGTAGTTGCTGCATTTGCTAGCCAGCCAAACGAGCCTGCCACAGCGCTCGCGTATCGCGTGGGGCCGCGGGCAGCTGCGCTAGCAAGCAGTGACGACCTGCCGCAACGCTCGTGTGCCGTTTCGGGCCGCGAGCAGTGGCGCACAGACCAAGCTCGCCGGAGAAATAAGGCTGGCTTTTGCGGGGGCGGGGCGGGAGACGGAGCTGGCAGGATTTTAGCGGCTTCGTGCTGTTTAGCTTGTCCAGTATGGCCTTTTTGTAGTTTGATTAAGAATCAATGCGCTGATGGAAACCAAAAATCCAGATTTGTAAGGTTTGAAATGGAATGCAAAAAACCAGGCATACATCTTACGGGGCCCATTGCCTATTTTTTATTGTTTCGGTTTTAAACGGAAGACAACGGAAAACCTCCCCTTTTTGGGAAACGAAAAGGGGATATCACCCATTTTAAGAAGTCTAATAATTATAATAATTTTTGTTTAGTTCTAAAAGGAATTTAAAAGGAACTCCACCCTAGTAGAGCCTTATTAAGGCCTCATTCATAGGACCTTGCAAAATCGCTGCGATCGGCGAGCGCAATGCTTTTTATTCGCTCAACAACCAAACACCATCGTTGCTTTTTGAATGGCTCAAAATCAACTACTAGTATGATTACACCCACGCACACTCACACATCACACACACACACGTGGCACAACATCTTATCACACATAGATTTCGAGAAATTTCGATTCTGACAAATCCGCAAATTTCCCTAAGATTTGGCCCGGTATTTTTTTTCGGAAAATCGCCAAATTCTAAAGAAATTTGCGAGCGCCGGAAGCGACCCAAAATTCGGGAAAAATTTGGCCGGATTATATCGCGAAAATTCTAAACAAAATTATTAAGAACCTTCCGAAATTTCCGCAAAATGTCGGGACCTTCCGGGTCGCCGAAACAAACATAACCGCTCGCCACAAGCACTACGATTCGGCCGAAATACCGCTATAACAACTCGCCACCAGTGCACGAGAAAGCCACACCGATTTTATATATTACAACAAAAAATATATATATATATATACATACAAACATACCTACATTACATGTATACATACATACATTGCATATACAACATACATACATATATAATATAGAATTATATTATATTTCATTATATATCTTTATATTATATTACAATATATTATATACATGCATTCATATATATATATATATATTATATATTATATATATACCTATATACATATACACAAATACATACATACATATCATACATACATACACACATACAAAATACAAACATATATACATACACATATACATAATATATACACACATACATACAAACATATATACATACACATATACATAATACATACATAATACATTACCTACATTACATACTTACAAACATACATACATACATACACACAAAACATACATACATACATACATACATACATACATACATACATACATGTATTACATACATACATACATGCATACATTACATTACATTACATTATATTACATACACACATATATACATTATACACATTACATACATTACATACATAACTTACATTACATACAATACATACATTACATACATTATCTTCATTGCATACATTACACACATTACATACATACATGCAATATATACATACATACATACATACATTATATACATACATACATACATACATACATTACATACAATACATACATACACACATTACATTACATTACGTTACATTACATTTCATTATATTATATTTCATTACATTACATGACTTACATTACATTACATTACATTACATTGCATTACATTACATTACATATATACATTACATTACATTACATTACATACATACATACATACATAATACATTACCTACATTACATACTTACAAACATACATACATACATAACATAACATAACA